CAATCCTGTCCTTTGTCGGAAATTTGGGTGTTTGGGCGGTTTGGCGCTGCTTGGCGGCGGCGGGCTTGCCTCTTGGGGGGCTTGGCCTGCTTGCGCGGCCGCCCTTGGCGTCATCGGCGCGGCTTGATACTGCTTGGCCGCTTGGCGCTGGGCCGCTTGGCCTGGGGGCTGCTTGGCGCCGGCCCCTGCCGCTCTTGGCGCAAACTTGGCGCGGCTGGCGCGTTGCGCCTTTCGCCTTGGCCTGCTTGGCGCTGCTTGGCGCGCTTGGCCTGCTTGGCGCTCTCGGCGCGCGGCGCGGCTTGGCCTGCGCCTGCTGCGCGCTTCGCTCTTGGCGCTGCTTGGCGCGCGGCGCGGCTTCGCTGCCTTGGCCGGCCCCTTGCCGGCTTGCGCTTGGCGCTGCTTGGCGCTGCTTGGCGCTGCTTGGCGCGGCTTGGCGCGGCTGGCGCGCCTTGGCGCTGCTTGGCGCTGCTTCGCGGCTTGGCGCTGCTTGGCGCGGCTTGGCGCGGCTTGGCGCGGCTTGGCGCTGCTTGGCGCTGCGGCGCGTTTGGGCGGGTTTGGGCGCGGCTTGCGCGGCTTGGCGCTGCTTGGCGCGGCTTGGCGCGCTTGGCGCGGCTTGGCGCGGCTTGGCGCGGCCGAGGAGAGGCCGGACCAGCTGCGTCCGGCCGCCTCGACTCAACTTGGGGCGACAGGACCAGACAGGAAGACCAACTGGCGCTGCGGCGCGCTGCGGGCTGCGACTGCCTCTCTCGCTCGCCCGCCTCAGGACTGCAAGGAGGTGTGGCTCACTGTTTGGGCCGAGGCAGAGGCCGGCCGGTCAAAACAGCTCCAGACGAGTCGACGTCTTCAACAAGACTTCGGCGGCAGCATCGCCACTCGTCCCAACAGGCACGAGTCAGACTAGCGCTTCAAACCCCAAGTCCCCTGTCCTCCACGGCGCGGCGCAGCGGGAAGGCGTGCAAACAGAGGCCCTCGAAGCGGAAGCGACCCGCCCTGTGTGTTCAGAACACTCCAATGTGCAAAGGTAGCCCCGGCGGAAACGTTTCTGCGTGCGGAGACATTTTTTATTTTTTCGTGTAGGAGGCGCCTTTCCTTTCCATTCTCTTTGACGTGTAGCCAAATATTCCCCCCGGTGCGCGCGGGCCGTCCCCGTCCTGCCGTCCTGCCCGGCCATCTCGTTACCCCGGCCTCGGCAAGCCCTGGCCGAGCCCGCCGAGCCCCGCCGAGCCCCGGCCCTGCATTCATCCCATTCAAGGGCTCGGACTTTGGGACTTTATTTCTCCCCTTCGTCGTCCGGGCCCCGGCCCCCGGCCGGCCGGCCCCTTTGTGTGTCGTAACAGCTGCGTCAGGATAACCCTTGCCAGCCCGGATTGGTGGTCTTCACCGTTCGTACGCCCCTGTCCCAAAAAACACATGTCCCAGGGCGCGTCGCCCAGGCGGGCCGGGCCGGGTGGATATTGAAGGCGACAAGCAGGAGCGCCATGGCGGCGAAGGCCCCGCCGCCCCGCCGCCGCCCCGCGCCCCGCAGAGGAACAAAAACGTCATTACCGCGATCGCCTTTCGAGTCTTTTCTTTATTTTTATTTCCTCTCCAGAATTCCGCTACGCTCGGCGCAGCCTCTTCGCCGACACTCCGCTGCTGGCAACGGAGAGCCCCCTTCCCCTCCCCGTCGCCGTGCTACGCCAATAATAATTGCGGCCAGCCTATTGGCTGCGCGGCTGGCTGGCTGCTGGCTGGCTGGCTGGCTGGCTGGCTGGTGGCGGGGCTCCAATTCGCGGTCCTTGTACTGATCATTTCACGGGTCGCTGAGATTAATTGGCGGCCGCCGCTCCACTAGAAGCGCAAAGTACCCCAGGACGGAGGCCACGCGGCGTGCGGACCGTGCAGACGCTGCAGCTCAGCGGCTCAGCAGCTCTCGATGGCCCGGTCTGGCCCAGCCCAGCCCGGTCCGAGGCCTGGTCAAGACGTTTGGAGCAGTTTGGCGGCGGTGGTCCGGACGGCCTCGGGCACGGCCTCGAGCACGGCCTCAAGAACAACCTCAACGAGCCGCCGCCTGCCCGGTGCTGCCCCACAACTGGAGCGGAGGCAGTTACGGGGAAAGGGGAGGGGGCAGGAGCGCTTGGAGGACGCAGGACAGAGTTGGAAATAGGGAGGAAACACACACTCACACAGGCACATGCACGCGGTACGCTCACCTACACAAAAGCGCAGGGGGCGCGTGCACACACACACACACACGCAGTCGGAACATGTGTCGGCGCTCGCAGGACATGAGCGTTTGGGGAGCCAACTGAGCGGGGTGTGCGGCCTGGGAGGGAGAATGTAGATTCATAGAGGGCCCCCTGCCAGTGAAACTAAAAAAAGGAAAGAAATAAGAGAGGGACGCTTTTCCGAGTCCGAGTGAGGGCTCTCTCTCACGCACACGATTAAATTCCAGTTTGAGCTTCGGACGGGGAATAAAACGAGCTGCCGGTGGGAATGAGCCGCGGCACCGCCTACACTGCCAGGAACTGCTAGGAGCCCAAAGACTCCACTTTTGTCGTCCTTTTTTTTTCTGTTTTCTAGAACAGCGCGGCAAGGGTGTCGTATATTCGCGGCGCCCAGAAACGGCAGCGGACTGGCGACGACTGTCACTGCGTCGCCCTAACAAGGAAACGGCCACGAGATAATAACGACGCTCTGGTTTCGATGCCGCCCGCGCCCCGCGCCCCGAGCCCCGAGCGGAGCCCCAGGCCGCACCACACCGCCAGCGGCCCTCCAGGCGCCGCCCACGCCCAGCAAGACAGATTCGGCGGCAACTTTTCGAGCGTCCTTCTGTCTGTCTGTCTGTCTGTCTGTCTGTCTGTCTATCTGTCTGTCTGTCTGTCTGCCTGCCTGTCTGTCTGTCGGCCCGTCCGTCTGTCTGTCTGTCTGTCTGCCTGCTGCCCGTCCGTGTGTGGCGCACAGCATGGCGTTGATGAGGTGCGCGGGGAGTACTGCGGCTTTTACGGCGAGTGTGCCTAAGTGCGGCACAATGCAAGAGGCGCTCCGCGAGCTCGGCTCGCTCGGCGTGCTCGGCGTTTAGAGTGCGTGGCGCTTAAAGTACGCCGCGCTAGAGCAGCGCTAGAGCAGCGCGCACCGCCAAGTGCTGGACCGCGCAGTCCAATTCTCTGGAGTAAGGCGCTCTCCCTCTCTCTCGCTCTTCCACGCGCGAGCGCCAACCACGCACCACGCGCCATCAGCGGGGAGGCCGCTCTCACTCCGCATACACACACGCACCTTCGCCGTCCGACGGGCAGACAGGCGGACAGACAGACAGACAGACAGACAGACAGACAGACAGACAGACAGACAGACAGACAGACAGACAGACAGACAGACAGACAGACAGACAGACAGACAGACAGACAGACAGACACCGCGTCCCTTATCGGCATGCCGAGGTGGCACACGTGTGATTTCACGCGCACATGCTCATCTCCGCGTCGCTCCTTCTGGCCGCGCCGAGTGCGCGGTCTGGTGCGCGGGGCGCGCAGTGCGCGGCCCAGTGAGCCGCGGCCGCCGCGTTTCCGCCTTTCCGCGGCTGAACCGCCGGCGGGGCGGGGAACCGGGGAATGCTGGCCTGGCGCGGCCTGGCGCGGACCTAGCGGGGAATGCCCGCCCCGCTCCGCCCCGCCCCGAGCACGGAAGGCACGGAGGGGCGGCCGGAGGACTCATTTGTCACCACAAATCACACGCGGGCTGACGCGAGCCGCCGCGTGTCCGAGGCTGCGTCCAGGGCGCCCCCCCCCCCCTCACATACACACACACACGCCGGCCGCCACGATGAGATAAATATTGCGCCGTCGGGGTGGAGCCCGGTGCGCGGGTCGCCGTCCGTCCGTCTGCCGAGCCGCGCGCGTTAAAATGTGGACGACGGCGTCGTCGCGTTCGGTCCGCCCCGCCCCGCCGGGGACGGCGCCGTGCCAGCGGTCGCAATGCGTCGCCCTTGGCAGCGCTGCGGAGGACTGCGAGGACTGCAAGGCGACGCGAATTATTGACGATGGTCAGGGACCGCGATGAATGATTGACGGCTCCAAGTTCAGGGAGAGGGTGGCCCCGGCCCCCCGGCGTCTGGCGTGCGTCACGCGCTCGGTGGGGGGGACGGGCGCGACGGTGCCTGACGAATGACTGCGCTATGGCTGCGCATTGCGGCGGGAGGACCAGGCCGGCAGCAGTGCGCAATCGATGAGCACCGAGCACTCCGCTTACGAGGGGACGGCGTCGGCGACGTCCTCCAGGTCCGCGCCGCACGGCCCAACGGCTGCACCGAGCGCGCGTCCCGGCCGCCCCGGCCCCGGCGCCGGCCCAATCTTTTCGGGGGGCTATTCTTCACCGTTCGGGGCGACGGACAACTTTTAATGACACCCAAGTTGCTCTCGGGAGAGAGGAGCGGCGCCGGGAAGGGACGGAGGCGAGTGCATTTCGGCGCGCGGACGCCGCTGCCGCTTCGAATCTGCATGCAATCACTTGGAATCGGGAGGTCGCGGCTCGGGCCGCCCCGCCCGGACCGTCCGGGCCGAGCAGCCACCAGGACCAGGCTGATTCCAAACGCAGGGTCCCGCCCCCGAATCCCCAATCCCCATCCTTTGCACTGTCTTTCTCGCGTCCATCGGCGAGCTCCATGAGTGCGAGAGAGAAATACTCCGTTCAGAATCTTCAGAATTGACTGGCGCATCACTGTCAACTTGTGTACACGCTGACGCGCGCTGACGCTGGAATCGGGGCGGCGGCGGTGCAGGGCTACCACCATTACGCATAAACGCAGCGCCCGGCGCAGAATGCATTGTTCGGTAACGACCCCCACCCCCTTCCGCCTTCCCACTGGACTTCCTTACTCCCCGCATCCACACCCCTACTGCCGCAGCAGGGAGCTACTGCTTCATCACTGTCTTATCGTCCGCGTGGGTTTCGATTTCCCCTCCGCCGGCCCTCCTTTTCCCGATAGCTCATTCGCCTCGTTTCCCCCTTCTGCTGCTACTTACCTCGGGCTGGGAGTGCAGCGCCTCCTCGAGGTTGGCGTCGTCCGGACCCTGGGGCTGGCCGAGCCCCGCCAGGCCACGGCTCAGCAGCAGGAGCATCAGCGGCCCCAGCACCATCCTGCGGACAAGGAGAACGGCCGTGTAGCGGAGTGGCCATAAGCCCATGCCTGTGTGTGTGTGTGTGCGCGCGTTCGCGTGTGTGTGTGTGGCGGTGAAGGGCGGAGCGGAGTGGGGAGGCAGGGCTGCCAACAGACGCGCGGCCGGCAGCACTACAACGCCACAATTGTCATCGCGGCGACACGCGGGCTGCGCAAGCGGCGGGATTAACGCGGCATGCGACCTGTCAGCGAATGTTGGCGAATATGATTGAGGCGGTAATTCGCTCGGCACGGCTGGCAAACAGAGCGGCGAAGCGGCGAAGCACAGCACAGTGGCACAGCATTTGCATTCATAGTGGCATTCGCGTTCTTGACGGGCGAGCCGCCGAGCCGGCAGCCCTTCGAGAGGCGATTGGGTAATGCGGATGGAAGGACCGGGCGGCGCTCACCCACTCACCCACTCACTCACTCTCACTCACACACACTGACTCTCACTCACACACACGCGCGACAGGCGCGCGCACAGAGACAGTCCCGCTTTCACACAGCGCGCCCGTCAATGTCATTCCAAAGAAATCTCGTTTTCCCCGTTGTTTTTTTCTGTTTTATTTGCCGCGCTTTCGCTCCGCCGTGCTTATTCATCCATTTTCTGCACGCATTAATGACCCGTCACGCCGAGCGCGCCGAGCACGCGGCGACAGTGTAGCGACGGGAAAGAAAAAACAATTGAAAGGATCGTGGCTGATGGCATGCGACGCCACCGCGGTGCCACCCCGCCCCACCGCGCCTCCGCCGTTTCGGCGCTCGGATGCAGAACAGAGCGACGACCTACTTCACTTCACCCCGCCCGGCCCCGCCCCGCCGCGACGCGCTGCTTCCACTCTGTTTTGCATCGCGGGTGCAGTTTGCGCGCAGTGTCGCCACCCCAGCCCGCACACGCGACGTGGCTTTGGCGACTGCATTTGCTCCAAGTCGGTTGGCGACACTGCCGCCGGAGTCCGGGCCGGGCGAAGGAAGAGTGCCCCCGCCCCGCCCCGCCCCGCCCCCCTGGGCCCGGCGCCCGGCCCGGCATGGCCCTGGCGGCGCCCCTCGCCTCGCAGGGCCGGGGCGCCAGCATGCGGTGCGCGGTACGCAAATCGCTGGAGCACTGTAGGACTGGAGGCCACAGGGAGCCGTTGGCGGCCCGGAGATGCTGCTGGAGTCTGTACTGGAGGACGCACCTCGGGACGAGGCGGAAACAAAAGACTGCGTGGAGTCAACGGGCCGACGTCTCCAGCGCCATTTCTCTCTCTATCTGCTACGGGGCGCTCCGAGAGAGAGAGAGAGAGACAGAGCGGAAACAGGCTGCAGAGCAAGACAACGGAGGCCTCGCCGCATTTCCGGCGCCCCAAGTCTCGGTGCGCGACACGACGGCGCGCCTGCGGGAGACGGCCTCCGCGAGACAGTACACTGCATTGCGGCGGGGCGGGGCGGGGCGGGGCGGGGCGGGGCGACATTGGACGTCGCGCCGCTGGCGGGCTGGGCTGCCTGCCTGTCGTTCCGCAGATTGTTTGGCCTCCGCAAATATATTCCCGCGGTGCCGGGCTGCGGCGCTGCGGCGCTGCGGCGGGGGGAAGCCTTGTGTGGAGTGCCGGAGTGCTCGGCGGCGAGGGCCTCCTCCACCTGGCGGGCCGGCCAGCCAGCCAGCCCGCCCGTGTGGCCAACAAGACAAATTTCCGCTTCGAAAAGGAGATTGCTCCCACTGCAGGCCGACGGGGCCGACAGGGCGGACAGGGCTGCCCGAGGGGCTGCCACTGGCACAGCTGCCGCTTTCTTCGAGCTCGGAAAAAAGGACGCGCGGAAGACGGGCCGGCCCGTTTGGCGGTGTACTGTACAGTCGTGTCGTGCACACGCAGCCGAGACACGCCCCCGCCGCCCTCGCTGCCCCCGGGGTGCCTCTCGCTCAGCCAATTCGATTAGGCCGGCCTGGCCACGCCGAGGCCCACGCGGGCGGGCAGGGCGAGGCCAGGGCGAGGCCGCCACGCCCGTTAAGTGGGCCGTGCAGATGAGTCGGCCCCTCCACCACCACCTCGGGGGCCTCGCCGGCCTCCTCGCCGGCCTGCACGTGGACCGTCTGCTGGACATCGACAGGACACAGCGATACCATCGTGAAGCCGATGCCTCCTGACTGTTTGGGACACTCGGCTATCCGGCCCCACGACCTGAAAGGATGCCCCTCTGGGCCGAGACGGGTGCTTGAGCCATTCCCGCAGAGGTTCCGAAAGCGGGGAGCCTCTCCAGGACATTGCTGTGGGCAGGGTGTCAGGGCCTTCAAGAGGCGTTCAGAGGTTCATTACGAGGGGCGGTGAACTAGCGTGGGGCCGCCTCGTACGTTTGGGGAGGGGAGGGGGAGGCGGTGGCATCGTCTGGCCTACTCTGTAGTTTGCCGCTAATTGGCTGTCTGCTTGTCGGCCCGACTCGGCCGCACCCAGGGCGCCCTGGCACTGCGCGCACTGGGCTGCTGTCACACACGACGCCACGGTCATGAGTGTCCCGCGCCTGCTGGGCCTGCTGGGCCTGCTGGGCCTGCTCGGCCGTGGTCACGAGATAATGGCAATGAAGCGGCAACCCTTCGGGCCTTCGGCTCGGCCACCTCTTGCCCGGTAGAACGGCAACGCGGCAACGTAGCGTCGCTGTTTCGCAGCAAAATAAACATCGCCTCTCTCTTTGCCCCCGAGGCAAGGTGCCCCGAGGCCTCGAGACCCTCGCCGAGCCCCACGGCGCCTGGCTGACTCGCGCGGATTCTTGCGGTGACCGCCCCGCCGCCTCCCCCGGGGTGGCTGGCTGGCTGGCTGTGCTGCCCGTTGAGCGAGAAAACTGGCCACATAATTGAGTTTTTGCCGGCGACTTGCCCGCCTTGTCGGAGATGGCGTCCGCTGCCCCACCCGTTACCTCCATTTCCAGCCGGGGCTTCTCCCCCCCCCCTTTCCCAATTTCCCGAGGAAGCCTTCCTCCGCTTGCCGTTCGTTCTCCGAAATCCAAGTCGCCGCTCGGGGCCATCCAATCCAAAACGTGCCGTAACGACACCCAGTCCGTCTTTTTGCGACAGACTCTTGAGAGAAGCGGGCCCGGTCGCCGAGGCGCGGAGACGCGCGGCAGAGACAGGCCACAACAAATGTTTAACCGAGGGGGCGGTGCGTTGAGTGACGCGGGGCATGCTGCTGGGAGCGTGCTGGAAGGCGGCGGCGCGCCGCTCGCTGGGAGCCCGTCGGACAGCTGCTTGCGCGCTTGCGGCCGCAGTAAACTTTCCGGGTGCAACAAACGGCCATCTCGGCGGCACGCGGCGCCACGCGGCGCCACGTCCTTGTCCTCTCTGTTGATCGTCCCCGTCCTGCTCCTCGCTGCCAACTTCCGGCCACATTTTGGAGCACGGCTTTGTGGGGCCGGAGGGGCGGCAGTGGTCGCCAGTCGCCACAAAGGGCACAGTGTACTCGCGACGGGCCGCGTCGTGGTGACACCGGTCGGTGGGTCCTTCCCACACTCACGAAGTGCCGCGTGTGTGCGAGAGAGACAGAGCGACGATACACTGTGCGGATCGCTTTGCAGCGCGCCGCGATCGAAACGTTTACTAAATGAAGGGACGAGGGGATTGCGAGGAAAATGAAAGAAACGGAGCACGCCGGAGCAGCGCGTGTCTGACTCTGCCTCTTTCTCTCTTCCCCACCCCCTCTTCCCTCTCGGACTGCACCGCTCAGCGCGGCTCAGCGTGGCCAAGGAAAACGAAGCCAATGCGGCGATGCAGAAAAGAAGCCCGAACGCGTGGCGCTGGCGCGCTGCGAGGGTCCAGGACGGCATCGGCACGCCCGCGAGGACACCCTCCCTCTCCAATTCCCCTATCCGCACACGCCCCAGCAGCCAATGGGGTCGCGCGCTGCTCGGGCCGCGCCGCCGACCGGGCTTGATTGAAAATCTTTCTCTAATCAGTCTGGCGCCGTCTTCCTTGATGAGGTTCTGGTGTTCTCCGCCAGGCTCCACTTTTCAGTCCTCGGGGACCAGTCTAGGGTCGGCACCGTGGCCGGGCGGTGCGGCCGTGCAGTGGCGTGACTAGGACAGCCGCAGGCGCCGCCTTGGCCGAGGCCGCGCCAGGGGTTCGGGTTCGCGACCCGGCCGCGGCGGATGATAAAGCAGTGCCAACTGCCAACTTATCGCACCTCGGGGCCCCGCCTCGCCTGGGCCCTGCGGCCGCATCCGCCGCCCGCGTCACCCGACAGCCGAGACTGCCTGATAAAATATCCAGCGGCCGATGGAGCGACCGTTAAACGGACGCTAAACGGCGCTCGACGGCGCTAGACGGCCGGGGAACGGCCGGATAACGGGTGGGCGGGGCCCAGGCGGGGCAGACGGGCTGGCGGGGACCGAGGACCCCCCGGGCCACTTGCTATTCAGGCGGAGTAGGGCCGAGTGAAAACGGGAAACAAAACCCCGCCAGCCGAGCCGCCGAGCCAGCCATACCGAGGCCGAGACCGTGGACGCCCTGCCCCGCCCCGCCCCGCCGCGTAATTGCATAATTGCAGGCCTCGCCGGCTTGCCGGGTCACGATTGCACGATTGCGGCATTGCCGCCGTTTGACGGGGCAACGGGACAACGGGACGCCGCCTCCGTACGCGGCCCAGCAGCGGTCGCGGCAGACTGGCACGTTCAGACCGCAAGTCCTAAATTGAACATAAAACACATGGGTATGGCCGGATTCCTCGTTCCAAGGGGGATCCGCAGTGGGACCATCACATGGCTCGGTCTCTCTCGCTCACGCAGGTACAGGTAAGCCAAGAGGTGCGAGAGCGACGAAATGAACAGGTTTGAATTGGCCCCGTGTACACTGAGGTGCTACGCTCGCCGCGCTGCAGAACGGAAGGCAGAACAAGAAGGCCGTTATTGGCGTCACTCAGGGCTATCCTATCCTGTCCTATCCTATCCGGGGGTGGCGGTGAGCAATGGTCGCGACGTGCGCCAAATCCTCCACGCCGAGCGACGCAGCGCGGGGCAGCGCGACCAGTCGAAATTGCCCCACCCCCTCCTCGCCCTGCTGACCAGGCTTATTGCGCTGCGGAGGTACTCCCCTCCCCCTCCCCCTCACCCACGCGTTGTTTCGATGCAGATTCGGCCAACTTACAGGGGACGCGCATCAGCGCGTGCCGCGGGGAAGACGCGCTGCTCCTTCTTGTTGCGGACCAGCGCGCATTGCCGCCAGCGGGCCAGCAGGTGGGGCGGGGCGGGGCGGAGCGATAGCAACTTTACGAGAGGTGTGCCGGAGAGCGAGATGCACTTGGACCCTACCGGGGCCGTGCACAAACTCCGTACCCATCAGTGTTGCCACCTCAGTAGGCACCTCGCGAGTCGGAATAGGGTTGCCAACCTCAGCGCCCTCGCTACACTAGCCAAATTCAAGTTGTCCAGTGGGCAGACTGCGCGCGGACCGGGCGGACTGATAGCTTGGCTGGCGGCCAGCCCCTTTCCACGCCACGGCGTCGCGGGAGTCTTTGCCTGCTTATGTGGCGACACTGAAACCAATCCCAGCGGGCGGCCCCCGGCCCCGTCCTCGAGGCCCTCATGGCGAGCCCCAAGGTCAGCCAGGACACGAGGAGATTGCGGGGGGCCTGGCCCGGCCCGGCCCGGCCTCGCGGTCTCGGATGGGCACGCAGTTCATTTGACGACCCCCGATGCAGCGGCGCGGGAGGCCGACGGAGACGAAGGACTTGAAGAGGGAGCCAGTAAATCTCAGTGCCAACTTGCCGGACAGGAGTCTTCGCCGAGTTGGCGGAACAGCACGCGGACGGGCGGGGCTTACTCGCGCGCCTTGCGCGGCCTTGCGCGCCTTGCGCCACCCCGTGGTCCGTGGTATGAGGGAGTGAGATCAAATTGGTTTTCAGGTCAGAGCGCTCCGCCCTCCATTCCGCCCCGCCCGCTCCATCCCACGGCATCCGTTAATAGCTCAGCCCTATATCTGCAGCGGCCCGGCCCGGCCTCGGCATCATCCAGCAGGATTCAATTCGGTTCGATTTGGTTCCTGGATGGGCAGCCCGGCAACCGCGAGGGCCGACGCCGGCCGATGGCTCGGCGCCGCGCCAGGCCTGCGCCAGGCCACGCCAAGCAGCCCGTCAAAGTGCCCGGCCCGGACAAGACTTTGCTTTTAGGTAGCCGCTCGCTTAGCTAGGCACACCACCTCAGCCCCGCCCTGCCCGCCCCGCCCCGGCGCGGATCTGGAATCGAGTGGCCGTGCGGGGCGCGGGGCTGACAGGCGGGGCAGTGCAGGGACAAGTCGGTGCGGTGGAGTGGAGGGCCTCGCAGAGACAACCGCCACTCTGTTCGCAGTGCCCCACGAAGAGGGCTTCCCTGCAGGGCGGCCTTCCCGGCTCCACCCGGTGTGGGGCCCGGGGCGCCAGGGCGGCGTTCGGAGCATTCCGTTCCGGCTGCCGAGACGGCGGCGGGTCAGGGGTCACGCCGTCAGGCCGTCAGGCCGGAGGGGCCGGCCATCCGTTCCGCCGCCGAGTGCATCGCCGGGGCGCCTTGCCTCTCGCTCGCACGCGCGCCGACGGAGACAGATGGAGGATCGGGGCCGTACCGGGCCGTACCGGGCCGTACCGGGCCAGCGCTCCAGCAGCCCCCTCGGGGCCCCTGGGGGAAAGGAAGGGGAGGGGGGAAGAGCGGGCATTTTGCGGCCCAATCGACCACCATCGTCGCGGTTCGCTGCAGCCGATACTAGCGCCGCGCGGTGTGGCGGGGCGGGGCGGGGCGGGGCGGGGCGTGCTCGATGAGGAAGCGCCGGGACCGTAAATGCGATTGTGGCAGCACCACCGATAGATCTTGCTTCAGGCCGTCCCCAGTCCGGCGTGGACCCTCTCCGAGTCCGGCGCGGCGCGGCGCGGCCGGCGGAGTTCGTGGCTCGGAGCGCCAAGCGCCGTGCGAGGTAGGCCGGCCCGCCACTCGGCCGCGCCCGCGCGTTGCCTACCCGGCAGTCCGCAGGCTGACGCCACTGCGCCACTGCGAGGCTTTCGCTGCGCTACGCCGGCACGCAAATATTTCTCTTAAGCGCCAAGATGAATCGTCACCATTTCTCACATTAAAATAAGAAGTGCGGGCCGTGGAGCGTCGCGGCCAGACCGCCCAGACCGAGCAGGCGGCCGTGCCACGCCACGCCGCGCCACGCCACGCCGCGAGAAATGGAGAGGAAAGACGGCGCTAAATGAAATTCAGGGGATTGCCCCGCCCGGCCATGGCCTGGCCCCGCTGGCCCGCACGCCGTCGCTGTATGTACTTATGTAATTTCTTATTTGCAGAGCCGGGCGGGCCCAGGCCCAGGCAGCCAGCCCACCCAGCCTAGCCCAGCCCGGGGCAATACGTTGCCGAATTAAGCGAATATAAAACGGCGGCTGCCGGGGGAGCGCGGGGGCGGCGGGGGGCTTTTATGACCGCTTTTTGCTATCTGTTGCCCTGCAGCGTCTCAGGATGGGATTACACCGCCGGATGCGCGCATGCGCCGCGGCCCGAGTGGTGTGCATGCGAGGCGAGCGCGTGTCGAGTTTGATCCTGCTGCTGCCGGTATGTTTGTGTGTGTGTGCGTGTGTGTTTGATTGCTGTAAAAGCAGTGCGCGAAATCTGGGCGGCCGATATATTCGCCCGCTCGCGGATCAAAGCCCAACGCGAACGAAACGCCACGGCCAACCACGGGAAGCGCGAATGTGCTGGGAAACCAATTTCAGCACCGGCCGGGGCCGCACTACGGCGTGTAGGTGTGTGTGTGGTGTGAGTGTGGTTTTTGTGATGTATGCATCAGGTTAGGGGCGCAGCGCACTGCAGCCTTCCCGCCGTGCAATCGACGCACGCCGCTGTCCGTCATTTCAATGCTGATCATCGCGCACCAGGACCGCGCACTCGTTGTAGGCGGCGAGATGTATTCCGCGGCCCACAAACCGCCACACACCGCAACACACCGGCAGGCACGCGGCGACCGAACGCCAGGAACGCAACCAATTCTCCTCCCGGTCGGTTTTACAGCGCGCGCGTGACGCCGGCCGCGCCGTGGAGGCCGAGGCCGTGACGCTGGCCAGACCTCGTTACATTCCCCGGCCGGACGTGCGGCCCGGTGCGGCCGGCTGCCACTGGCCAAGAAGGGGGCGGGGTCGTCGCCGGGGTCGCCGGGGGCAGTCTAGCTGGGGGCGGCCAAGCCGGGGGCCGTGGAGTGTTATTATCAGGCCTGCAGGGGATCGGCGAGAGCACGGCGCCGCATGGCCGCAATGATGTACAGAATAATCTGGTTTGTGCCCCCACCCTGTGGCGCACGCACACACAGACAGACAGACAGACACACACACACACACACACACACAACACGCACGCACACACACACACACACACACACGCAGAGACGGCCGACCCATCGGGACGTCCCCCATTTCTGGCGCCGGGACAGCTTATTGCTGCCGCCGAGGCGCGCTGAGGGAGGGGCAGTATGTATATGCGGCTCGGGGTCCAAAGGCGGGGCCGACCGAGCAGCCAGCCAGCCAGCCAGCCTGCCGCGGGGGCCTCCAGGCACGGCCGGGCTGTGCGGCTGTGCAAGGGTCATAAGTCTAGACTGTCGCAGCTCATGATGTGGCGGATGGGAGCGCCGCCGCCATGGGCACTCCGAGCCGCTCCAGGCCGCGCCGCGCCACGCCACGCCGCGCTAGGCCGCTGGGGCGGAAAGGATGCCATCTGCGGGGAGTGGGGGTAATCACCTGTCAGGGTAATGGTATCGTCAAGGTGGGCGCGGGCGGGGCCGGCCGTAAATCGCCATTATTGGAGACGCACACGTGACACGGGCCGGACACGCGCACGACACTTGGGGACGCAATTATCACTGACACGCTGTCGGCTGCCATTGCTGCCAACATTGACAGCGACCCACCCCACCCACAGTGGCCTGCACTCCGTGTGGACGTTCCTTTGGCAAGCCTTTGCTAACTAAGAGAGAGAGAGAGCGATTTCACGCCTTCGTTTGGGAGCAGTATTGCCGCAAAGTTGGTCGCAGAGCAGAGAATGTTGGGTTCTGTGGTATTTGGCTTAGCATTGTGTCTGTCGTTTGCTACCAACTTCTGTGCTTTAAATCGGTGTCAATGATTCAAAGCGTGTCAGCGGTCTTCAAACGAATGGCAAGTGACGTGTCCTTCCTGCCTTACCTCGGTCACCTTGCCATACGGTGGTCAGCGGCTCCTGCAACAACAGAAAAGGCCACAGTTTACGTTTACGATCTGCTGTTCTCGGGCAGTGGCCGCACCGACCGCACTACCCGCCTGAGAGCCTGCGTGACTTAGAGAGCAGGAGCAGGAGGAGGGGGGGGGACGGGGGGCATCCCCAGGACGCTCCATGTCTCAACTCCTCTATCCTCTTTCCCCCTAACGACGTCCTGACTGTTTGGCGGGCGCAAAGAGCACCTCACCCCAGCTCGACGGCCCGTCCCCGCCCCGCCCGCCCCGCCCCGCCCCGCCCCGCCCCGCCCCGCCCCGCCCCGCCCCGCCCTGCCGCGCGCCTTTCAGCATAATGTACCAACTTGATTCCGGCGCCGCGTACGTGGCGGGGCTGGTGGGGCTGGCGGGACAACAATCTCTTAAGCGGTCCTCCAGGATGAGGACATGCAAAATGTACGCCACCATCACACGCGAGTGCACTGCGCGCATTCTGATTCCGAGGGGGTGGGGGTGGGGGTGTAAGTTCCGCCGCCAGCCCCGCCAGCTAGTTACGGCGCTAACGAGCTCACCGCTGTCTCGAGCTCAGTCCGGAGACGGCGAGGCGGCCGCTTTAAAAATGCACCTTCTTCGCGCGCCCCGCTGTGCCGTGCCGCGCCGTGCCGCGCCGTGGCGGCGCCGACCGGGTTCCAGGCGGGCCCGAGGGGTGGCGCCAGCGCCGCGCGCCGTCAAGACCCTCCGGGCCCTCGCCCTGCCCTGGCCTGCCCTCAAGACGCGCGGCAGAGCAAGCGAGCAGGCAAGAGCCGGACGGGCAACTTTATGAAGCTGGGGAGTGAAACGTCGCTGAGATGGTTTGTGCAGCGGGAAATGGAGAATAACACGGCCCTGCTGGATTCAGGTTCTGGGTCGGGTGGCTCTCCGTCGCCAGGCCCCTCGGGCCCCCGGGCCCCGGGGACGCGGGGACGCGGGGTCAAGGATGTGGCCCTCGGTGCGGGTGTACGGCCGGCCGGAGAGAGGCTGAAAATCATCCTCGTAAACCTCTCAATCTCGTCAGCTCCCTCCCGTCCCACCTATAACTCCCCCCGCCCCCTCCCCCTAGCCGGCAGCCAGCACGCCAGCGTCCCCCAATTCTTTGCCAGCCTTGCCAGCGCATCCGTCCCGTTGTTTCCGCCCTCGCCCAGCTTTATCGATATCCCCCCCTCCCTCTCCGCTGCAGCCTCCGCGGTTTCCCCGCCTTTATCTCCTGGCATTAATAAATACCGATAAAATAATGATTCCATTTTCGCAGCGATCGCCCCGCCCGGCCGGCGAGCTCTATTGTGGCGCTTGGTGGCCTTGCTGGCCTTGCCCGCCCCGAGGCCCGCCCCTCGCCAGGATGCACTCTCCTGGCCCCGCGCGCCGAGCTCTGCGGGCTGAATCCGGACAGTCAGTTGCTTTCGTCGCGCTGTCTCTCTCGCGCTCGTGGGGCGTGTGTGAGGGTGCGAGAGAGGCAGCGCGACGAGGCTGTCGAAACAAACGCGGTGCCCGCGCTTCAATCCCTTAATGGGCCCATTACGCGGCTCTCCATGCCGTGCCACGCCGTGCCACGCCGTGCAACGCCGTGCCAGCCGGGCGAATAAATCCCAGGAATACGTGCGCGGCTGCGCGGTGCAGGCCGTGCACATTCCACGTAACACGCCATTCAGCCGCCAGGCCGCCACTGCGCGCGTTCGCGTGGCGCAGCATACGAATTGGCTGCCCCGGCCCGAACAGCGCTACGTAACAGGTGAGGCTAGGCCTGGCGAGGCGGGCGGACAGGCGGGCAGACAGACCGGCCGGACGAGCAGTAAAGCCGCGGCCGTATTTATAGCGACTCAACAAGGGATTCGTCCGGCCGGCCCGGCGCGCATTACAGTGCAGGGCCGCGCATTATCGCGTGGCCACTGCCAAACGCGTGCACGTCCCCGTCGACCGGTGCGCGGCGGGGACGCTGAGGACGGCGAGGACGGCGAGGACGTGCGCGACGTGCTATCGCTCGCCCACCGCGGTGCCCGGCGCGCTGCTGGCCATGGGGGGTGGAGGGGCGGGGCCGCGAACCAGCTGCATTTCCATATGAATGACCTCGAACAATAGTTGACCGGCAGCGCTGGCGCGGGGCGTGGCCGGGCGGCGTTGCGGGCGGCGAGGGGCGCACACGAGGCGAACGACGGCGAACGCGACCGGGCCGGACTGGCCGGACTTGGCTCCAGCGCGGCCTTGGCTTGGCTCACGCTCGGCCGGGCCATGCCCGTGGCCGGGCTGGACGGGGGAAATTATTTTTCTCTCCGCTGCGCGGCTGCGCTCTGCGCGAGGCGTGGAGTGCCACGGACGCGAACACCGGGGGCTGTACCGCACCGCAGGCCGGGGGAGGGGGAGAGGTGGGGGGCGTTTCATGGCTGGAGTGTGGGGCTTTGTGTGACCCCGCCAACACCAGCCGGCACGGCGTGGCACGGCGTGGCACGGCGCGGCATGGCGACAAGGGCAAGGACACAAGGGCGGCGCTACTATTGGCAGAGAGTTTGATGTGGCCGATCTCTGCTCCGGCGTGATGGTCCCGCTCCCGCTCCCCTCCCCACCCCGGGCAGGGGCAGGCCAACGAGTCCGAGATACGCGCGGAGGCCACAGCGGTTTACGGTTCGTCCTCAGAGAGGACCTTCCCCGCCTTCCGAGCGGCGCGGCGCGTTTGTTCCACACGCGGCCTTCTGTATCCTCCATGTTCCGGGGGTGGGGCCCGGCCGTGGCGCCCCTGCACATCATAAGGGCAGGCGGAAAGAAAAGGGAGAAAGAAACCACAGGGTGGCCCGAGTGGATACGAACCACAGTGGTGGGCGATACAATCTTGCCGAGCACACACACGCACGCTCACACACACACCGACACGCCGAGCTCCCCTCCGTTGGCAGCGCTGTGTGGGCGTGGGCGCACCACCCGCAGCCCCGCGCGACTTTGACGCGAGAAAGTTTGGCGCGCCGTAAAGGGACCAAATTACGGTATTGCGTTCGGTCGGAATCGGAATGACGCGCTGCTTCGGATGTTCCGCGGCCCCTCGCCGCGGACGCGTACAAGGAGAGGCGCCAGCAGCGTCAGCAGCGGCAGCAGTCGGCCCGGAGCTGTCGCGCGAGACACCCGAGTGACAGCGCCGTGTCGGGCTTTGACAGCACGTGACACTGGCGTGACGGCCGAGTGACGCGGCCTGACGGCGCGACAGCGGCGGGGCTCGGCCTCAGGGCCTCAGCTGCAGTCGATGCGCATGCCGTGGGGGCCTCGGTGGGGCCCTTGGTGGGCCCGTGGGGGGAATGAGGGTGCCAGGCCGGGTCGGCGGGTCTGATCCAGTCGCGTCACCGCCGGTTTATTCTCTGATTTCCCGTTGACGTCTCCGCGGCGGCGGCACCCGGGTCCCGGACAGGCTTGGCTTGTACTCCCAACCGTAGCGTGGAATCTTGAGACGCCAAAGTTTTCAAAAGGTAGAAAAAGACCACGCGTCGAAATAACGGCGATTGTGAAGCTTTTGCGCTGCAGCCTGTTTCGTCATTTCCGCTTGTTACCGCTCCGCCCCGCCCTCTGGCAGGTGGTGTGGAGCGCTATCCTGGCTGGCAATATTTCTCCCATTCTTTTCCCTGGCAAAGCCGAAGCCGCGCCAGACAACAGGTGCGGCCCGTAAACGGGAGCGTTTGGCGTTGGCGCTTGGCGTTTGGCGCGGTTCGCGGCGTGGCGTGGTGCGGCATGGCGTGGCGCCTCGGACATAACACGCGTGCACGCGCGCACGGCCGACGCGGCCGCGCCTAGCCCCGCCCACACGTGCTTGGCCGCAGAAGCCGCAGCCACTCCAGCCAGGTCCCTGCAGACCGATTCCGAGCGGGAGGCCTTCTCTCTGTCTCTCTCGCACTCAAGGGGCGCACCACCTGGCTGCGAGAGAGACAGGCCCCCGCTGAGAATCAGCCTCTGGCAGGGATTACTGCCTGCCATTAGTCCGACCGGGTCCGGCCCTGCTGCTGCTGCGTGGTGTGGATGTAATCGATTTTTTTTTTGCGGACAAAGTCGTCGTGGATAATTTGTACTCCCCTGGCCCTCCCCTAGCACTCTCCCGGCCGCCTCGCCCCGGCACTCCAGGCTCCACGCCGTGCTCTCCATGCGCGCCTAGCCGCACGGTTGGCAGCCGACGCCACGCACTTTTGCACACGTCTACCTCACCTCCACACCACTTTGGCAGTGGGGGGAACGGGAGGGACGGTAAGTGCAATGCATTATGTATGGCCGTAAGCAGGGGCCGTGGCGCCAAGTTCTCGCCGCTGATACAGTCCACTCGTCATGCCCCGCACCACGCCGCCACCGCGCCGCCACCGCGGCGGGCCTCCCCGACAAGCACGGAACACGCAGCAAAGGCTTCTGCTTGGGTGCCTGCACTGCCTGCAGCCGCGCGACAGGGCGTGGAGCTGAACGTAGACGCCAGACTTCGGAACCGGAGTATTGAACCGGGAACTTGAAGCCAGGAATGTAGAACCTCAAACTTGAAACCTCCTATGAAAAATACTTGGCGCGACTTACTCAAACCTGAAGCCTGGCCGAAATCAAGTATTGGATCTGGAGGGCTCGAACCTGGTCATTTGAGACTGTCGCGGCGTAGTTGAGCCTGGAGTTCTCCAGTACTCCCGCCTGGGTGCTGGAGTCTGGAACCGGAGCCCGGAGGGGCCGGCAAAAACCTGTCCACTCGGCGTCACGTTTCAAGTGCGGCGGAAAAGAGGAGGGGACGAGGAGGGGACGGTGTAGGGCGGCGGTTCATTAAGGACTCGCGTTGCGTCGGGGCGACCGGGCTGGGCCGGCTGGGCTGCACGGCGGGGCGGCCGCCGAAAACGCGCTCAACGGAAGCGCGAGAGCCCAAAAGCCGCAAGCCCAAAAAGCCCAAAGCCTCGCTGAAAGCCCATTGAAAGCCGTTTGGTGAAAGTACCACCAACATCATCAGAGCCCCGTGCCGACCAACTCGCGGTTTGACGCCGCGGTCGACGAGAGTGTGCCAGGGTGCGGGTCGCGGAAGTAACGGGTCGGCGGCGCCATCCGCACCCTGGCCCTGACTTCTTGACGGTACGGCGCCGTGCCCGCTGCCCACCAAGCAGTGCCGCAGCGAGACGGAAACCCTCTTGGCTGCGGCCCTCCCCTCCCCTCCCCTCCTCGCACTCGAGCAGCGGGGGAGGCAGTCGCCATGCACTGGCATGCACTTCTACTTGGCGCGCTCGCCGAAGGCCCCAAAGGCCCGTCAAGGCGGCCGCCTCGGCCACTGTCATGCGGGTGCTGCAGCAGCTCGCCGCCCTCGACGAGGAGTCGCGAGTCGTGCCGTGGGCGGCCGCTGCTCCCCGTCGTCCCGGCCGTGGCGCGGTCGGGCCGGCAACGGAATCGGATGTCTCACTCGGCGGCCACTCGGGGACCGCGGGGGACCGCCGCCAAACGGCGCTTGCCGCTACACCGCGAGTGTTTGCCGGAATTCGATTCGCCCTGGAATTCGATTCCAGTTGTTCTTGTCCAGGCGGGTGGAGGTGTGGGTGGGGCAGCCACCGCCACGAGGTGCGGATTACTTAACGCCCCATGGCTTATGCCCCCATGGCTGCGGTCTCGAATGCAGACGTCCTCGGGGCGGTATGGGGGTGGGGGTGGGCGGGTCCCGGAGGCGGGCGGGGAAAGAGTGGCGACGACTGGCAGCAGCGCAATGCGACCCTCGTTACTTACCACCGCCTTGCCTCGGCCTTGGACGGAGGGGTGGGGCAGTCCGCAGCAAGTTAACCACGAGTTAGCAGCCCGCCTCGACTTGACGCCACCGGTCCAAATAAAGAACCGGAAATGCTGGTTTCTGCTCCGGCCGGCCTCAGACGGCCTCGACTCTCGGCATGCCGCGGCACCGGCTGCCTTTCCCTCTTCCCGCCGGCCCTGCCAGCGCGCGCCACTCCACCTTGAGGAGGGCGAGGCGAAGACAAAAGGGCTGCAGGGAGGAAAGGGCTTCGGGGAGGATGAGGGAGGGCCGCAGGGCCGCAGGGCCTCGCCACGGGCCGGGCGTCCCTTCCCACGCGCGTGCCGAGCCAGCTAGCCAGGACAGCCAGGCCTGCCCCACTGGCCTGGACTGGAGCAGGCCCACGGACGGGCCGGACGGGCCGGACGGGCTGCTGGCTGCGCGGAGGAAATGTAGTGGAATAACTGAAAGGCAGCCAGCCGCCCTTCCCGCCTCCCCCGGACGCCGCGCCACGCCGCGCCACACCATCGGTGAGGCCGGGCCGGGCGGCGTGCTTCACAGCCATCTGGGATATCGGCTAGTGCAGATGGGTCCAGCTGTCAGCGCGGCACGGCGCGCGGCGCGGAGGTCAGGTCCCCGATTTCGGATTTCGGTCGCCGGCAGTGACAGTTTAATCGCGGGCCCGGCTGCCCCCCCCCCCTTTTCTCCCTTCCCAGGGCGCCCCACATCGGCGCGCGGCGGGTCCGTTGTTTGCATAGCCAGGATATCGGAATTCCAGATTATTTTTTTGCCCTTTCTGTTCATCCCCCTTTTCGTCGCTGTGGAGCGCCGCGCGGTGTGAGGCGGCGGCGAGGAACCTGCGAAACGCGTGGCCACGCGCTTCCACCCTTCGCAAAGTGGCGGCGGAGTCTTGCAGCCCTGTAGCCCTGCACTGCAGCCACTAGCATCGGCCAGGTCGACCTCGCCGTCGAGGCCGTCGAGGCCCCCGGGGCCGCCGCGCAACTCGTTGCCGTGGAAGGCGCGCACGTCGGCCCGATTGATGGGAGCGAGGTGGTGTGCCACGCCCCGCCCCACCCCGCCGAGGCCGAAGGGCAGCCGTCCGTCGGAGCAGCACTAGCAGCAGTCTGGCGGGCTGGCGGCCCTGACAGCCCGTCCGTAAGCCTTCCCGGCCGGAGCGGCAACCCGCAGCCACGTGAGCCCGCCACGCCACTCCACCACACTGGCGGAATAAAGTCCCGCGCTATACCGCGAACGCCGCCGCAAATTAGCCCGGCCGTCAGCAGTGCGACTGTCCGTCCGCCGCAGCCCCGCAGCGCCGCAGTGCCGCACATATATCTCTCACTTTACGCCCACACGCCCCTCGGCCCCACCCCCTCCCCGACCCTCGTTCGGGGCAAGGCCAATTACCGCCATCGACAGACCTCATTTCCGGGCCCACGCGGGGACACCTCGCTTGCTCGCCTGCTTGCGCCGCCACTACAAGACCGAGGCCGGCAGCACCGGCAGGACCGCCACCGCCCCGGGCGACCTGCCCTGCCGCATCCTCGCGAACGGCGGACGGGGCCGGGCCGGGCTGCCCAAGGCGGGGCTCCAGAGTCCACCACCAGGGGGCAGCACTGCCCCCCCCCCTCATCTTTTTCTCGACCGCCTCGCCGAGGACAGAAGTAGATTAACGATATTAAATTTGCTGAGGGAAAAGCGCGGGATTGCTCGGCGAGATAGCAGCGCTGCGGCCCGCGGACGCCGTCCTGGCGACCTGTCACGGACACTGTCCGAAACCAAAACCAGCCGTGTCTCTCTCGCACTCGTAAAGTCCCGAGTGTCTCTCGCGCACGCATAAGAGTCGCGCCTTGAGTGCAAGAGAGAGAGAGAGAGAGAGAGAGAGAGAGAGAGAGAGAGAGAGAGAGAGAGAGAGAGAGAGAGAGAGAGAGAGAGAGAGAGAGAGAGAAAGAGAGAGCTCTGCCGCCTCGGTCCTCGGCGGCGTGCCTTGTCGCCTTGCCTCCTCCCGCTTAGCAAGCCGTCTCTGCGTCTCGGACACCTCGCTCCGCCGACTTCCGCCCCCCCCCCTCCCCCCTCCGGGCGTCCCCGCTTCCCCGCTTTCCCGGCGGCCACATGTAGTTTACGGGGAATCGGGGCACTCAGCCGACGGCTGATTATCGCGCTTAGACATCGGCGCTGCTGCTGCTGATAGACTCCCCTCGCGCCCCTCGCCCGCCTTCGCCTTCCTCGAGGCCCCGGCGTCGTCGTCGACGTCGTCGCACGCACCCCGTTGAATTGGCTGAGCGACGACAGGGATCGAGCAGCCGCCGAGGAGCCCCTAGAGGGTGGCGGTGGGGAGAGGGGAGGGGCAAAGGGCGCCATTACGGTCCCCACTCAATCACGTCGCCGGCCAAGGGGGCCTGCTTCGCCTGCCTCGCCCGCCTCGGGGCGAGTGAATGCCGCCGGTCGCCCTCAGGTGGCCGAAGTGCCCGTGAAAGCGGCATTGACGTGTTCGCCGTGCGCGCGCGCGTGCGTGTGTGTGTAGGTGAGTGTGCTGGCGCTGGCGTGATGTGAAACTTACATGACGAAAACTTGGTCCGCTCGCTGCCGGCGACGAGCCTGGCGGCGCCGGGCATCTCCTGCAACAGAAAGGCGCCGTGTTGGAAAGCCAGCCTCGAACCTTGAACCTTGTCGAGTCCGCCACACCGCACGGCCATGGCCACACGCAGCGCGCGGCGCAACACCCGCGGGTCAGCATGCAGGACGACGAGGGAGCACTCTCGTTGAATATCATGTCCGGTCATTTTCTTGTTTTCTTTTTTTCGCGTTAACACCAACACTTTGGAGCGCGCCGTTTGCTCTCCACGCGCTATATCGCACTGTTTGACTGCCTGATTGTGCCCGACATGGACGGGCCCAACTGCGCACAAGCACACACACACACACCAAGGCACACAGAGCAATGGCATGGCACAATCAGGCCGCCGTGTGTTCGATTCATTTGCGAGTGGCCGTCGTCGACAAAACACGCGGCCCGTCCCCCCTTGGGGCCGGGGGCGGCCGGGGGCGGCCGGGGGCGGCCGGGGGCGGCCGGGGGCGGCGTTGTGCATTGTGGCCACCGGAGTGGTCCCCCCTCCCCCTTCCCGATGGGGGTCGCGGCGTACAAACACGGAATCAAATCGGCTGATGGAATGACTCGCATCACGCCACGGCTATTTAAAAGCTCCAGCGGCAGGGGCGCCACCTGCTGGTCAACGAGGAATAACGCCCCACCCCGCCACCCCCACCCCGCCCGCCGCGCGGACCACCGCACTATTTACCTTCGAGAATGGGTTCGGACAGGTCTATATCCGCGTCTCGCTCCGCGCCGCACCGATGTTTGGCTTGGCTCTGCTCGACCAAATCCATGCCGTGGCCTACATGTGCACGTTTGCACGCCGCTCCAGGTCTCCAAAAAGGGACGGGGAGGGGGGGGGGGGTCTGCAGCGGATCGAAATGTATATTTGTGAAGTTGCTGCAGGCTGCATCGTCGTGGTTGACGGACGCCCGGCGGACGCCAAAAGCCGTGCCAAGGCAGGGCGACGTGAAGCGGAGAAAGCGGTGAAGCGGAGAAAGCGGTGAAGCGGAGAAAGCGGTGAAGCGGAGAAAGCGGTGAAGCGGAGAAAGCGGTGAAGCGGTGAAAGCGGTGAAGCGGAGAAAGCGGTGAAGCGGAGAAAGCGGTGAAGCGGAGAAAGCGGTGAAGCGGAGAAAGCGGTGAAGCGGTGAAGCGGCGCGGCGAATGAGCCCCACTCGCCACTTCACACAACTTCGGTGCCACTCCGTGTGTGGCGCGCACTGACGTAGCCGCCGAGCGCGCTGTATGCCGCTATACAAATGAAGAACGTGCGGGAAAAAAGAAAAAAAAGGAGGGAGAGGAAAAAAAAGAAGGTTGGCACTTGCCGTGGAAAATATGTCCTTGGAGTTGTGCGTGCCAACATAATTCACACTCCTTTATTATATATTCACATGCATTGCACACACATGCTTTCGGTGGCACTTTTTTTTTTGCGGGCAGTTGTTGTGGGTAAGCTTATAGAAGTGTGTGGGTCTGAAAATCGAGAAATAATTCCCCCGGCGAGGGAATGGCTGTCAAATCAGAGTGGGCCTTGCAGGCGCGGCGAGTGGGCACGTGCCCAGAAACAGAAATACAATCTTCATTCGTCCTGGCCGGCCCGGCGCCTGGTCAGGCTGAGAACAACGGGGCATTCTCCCGTTGGATGGAATCCATCAGCAACTGCGGCCCTCTGCAGTGCCCCCCCCCCTCCCCCTCTCTGCACGAGCCAATTCAGCCGTTTGAATGGCCGCCCCGCAGCGGCGCTTCAGGCGCAGAATGAAAATCTTTCCGAAACGTCAAGTGTCCCTTTTATTTCACGGCAGAGAAACTCAATCTCCACCTGGCGAGCAGTGGGGCGGCGTGGCGTGGCGTGGCGGCCGGCTCATCAACTTCTATAAAACGTCCCTTTCCAAACAGGGAAAATATTGTTATTGCGTCCGCCGCGTGCCTCCGCGCGACGACGGCGCGTTTACGACCCATTGTACCTGCAGACTGATACCGAAGGGCCGCTCTGTCGCCCTGTCTCTGTCGCACCCACAGAGCGTCCCGCGGGGGTGCGAGAGAGACTCTCTGGGGCGCGCCCTTCGGCAGGCTCCGCGAGGTGCCGCAGCACGGCGATGGCGTTGGCGGCCTGCAGGGCCTGCAGGGCCTGCACGCTCTAACGAGCAAATGCGAGGCGGGGCCGCGGCCAGGGTGCCGAGGCTCGGCCAGCGCGGCCAACGCAAACACCGAGCACGCCGAACCTGGCCGAACGCGCCGCTAACTGGCGGGCTGGCGGGCTGGCGGGCCCTCCTCCGGCGTCCCCGGGGACGTCCCAGGGGCTGCGCTGAGCTGGACAAGCCACCGGGGTGCCGGCCCGTCTGCTCGCCTCCGCCTGCCCGCCGCTCGCTCGGCCACAGGTGCGGCTCGGGGAACGGCAATCGGCAAAATCCGTCCCGCAGGTGCGCCAAACCCGCCAAACTCGCCAAACCCGAAGTGAGGGCGGCGCTCCGACCTTTTTGCCGACGGCTCGCTCTGAAACGCCAATCAGCGCGCAGCGGGGAGGGGAGAGAAGGTGGTCCCATTGTCGGTGTCCATACCGCGTGAACGACCAGCCTGACGGGGGCCACGCTCGGAATGATAAAATCACGATTTCGAATTTAGACGCGGAGTCGAAACGGAGTGGGCTCATGCGTCAAGACTGTAACGCTCTCCGTTTACATTTTTTGTTGTGTTTTTGTTGTTGTTTGGCGGTTTTACTGTTGGTCCGTCCAGCCATCAATGACACAGCGCGCCTGCCAACGGCCGCGTAGGCACTCCGCGCGCACCCGTGCGCCCGCGCTGCCTACCCCGCATTACCATTGCCATTAAGGGCTAGACCACACATGATCGTATGCCCAAGCCGGGCGTCCCGCGGGAATCTACACTCTGGCTGGGCCGAAGGGAGTCATCATTTTCCTTGCTTCGGCTTGAGGCATGAACGGTGGAGGGGTCAAAGCCTGGTCGAGTGGAAAGGGGGGGAGGGGGGGGCACGCAGCATGTTGGCAAACAAACACGCAAGTGGCGTGCGCGTGACGCCGCGTGACGCGCTGCCCGTTCCGCCCCTTTCCAGGCTTTCCAGGCACACAACGGGATAAAGCCCTTTTTTCGCGAGGCGGGGCGGGCCACGCCCGGTCCGGTCCAACCCGGCTGTCCAAACAGCGGCCAGGGCACGGGGTGGTCCAGCACATTGCAATTTGTGAAATGGCTGTGTAAATAGAGCATCAATTTCTCTGTTTTTTTTTTTATATTGAACGCCGCGCTTTTATGAGGCTTTTCCTCCGCCCGCAGGCACGCGCGAATGTGTGAGAGAGCGAGAGAGAGAAAGAGAGCGGGGCGAATGGGCAACAAACATTTGGTATGTGTAACGAATTTCGAGTTAATTGTTATTTATGTCGGTAACTCGTCGCGCTGGCGGATGCGTATATCCGCTTGTTTGATGACTTGTTTCGTTCGTCACTCCGTGAAAGGAGAAGGGGTAGCGGAGCGCTAGGTCCATCACTGCTACTCGGGTCCCGCCCCGCAGCCAGAGCTGACACGTCCCAAGTCCCTTCGGATCGGTGTCCGTCGGTCCGTCGGTGTCGGGGAGTGAATCGAATCCTACTTGTCCTCCACAGCCGCAGGGCGGCAGGCTCTGGCAGCACACCGCATCTCCATCGTCCTAATTACGCCCCCTCGGTGCACCGAGACCGACCGAGACCGAGGGGGACTAGGGAGCGTTGTCGAACCGCCGAGTGGACTGGCGGGGCCCTCCGCCCACCCCGCCCCACCCCGCCCCACCCCGCCCCACCCCGCCCCACCCCGCCCCACCCCGCCCCACCCCGCCTCGCCGCAGGACTGCGCCGGGCGACCGGCCCGACAAACCCGCCACGTTATAGAGTCCGCAGGATGACGCAGACGAGGCCCTCCCGCACACACACACACACACTCTCACACTCACACACACACTCACTCACACACACTCACACACACACACACACACACACACACGAGCGCACCCCGTCGTCCTTCAGATGTGGTGCGGCGAGCTGGAAGCCACCGCCAGGATACTTCCCGGCACGGCCATGGCACGGCCAGGCGGGGCCAGGCAGGGCGCGCCACGCCGCGTCTACCTCCGATGAATACAGCCAGTGGCAACAGACACTGTACAGACACTGTACAGACGGCAGCTCCCTCGCCCCACTTTCTGCCTCCCTTTATCTTCAGTCGTCTCCCTCGCACTGCAATACGTCCGCGGCGGGGTAATGATGCCGCCAAACCGCCGCCGCCGCCTCCCTTCTCTCTCTCTCCCACGTGCACTCCACGCCACGCACTCCCCACTCCACGCACTCATTTCCTCTCGTGCCGCCGACACGCAACTTTGCGACTCTTCCTCTCGAAACAGGGAAATCCGGCCGGTCGGGGGGAAGGACCTGAGCCAAAAGAGAGGGTCGACGAGCTCCAATTCGCCCTAAATGTGATTGATCACAGCGACAAAGTGACGGGGGGGCGGTTTTCGGGTTGCCGAATCAGCTTTGACGAATCACGTGACACCTCGCAAAATGATTCGAACCGACTCCTCAAATGGTGTGGGGTGGGGCGCTAATTTGTTTATCTTGATAGCAACATCATGTGGGGATGGGGGTTGGTTCATTGATAAGAGAGGGTGGATAATTCGCTCGTTTTAATTTGAGCGCCACCGATTCGGCGAATCGCGCGCATAATTTGTTGCCCCGCTGGAAAGGCCGCGGCGGCCCTTCCCTTCCCACTCGGCGGTGCAGGTGAGCGGGCCGCGCGCTCCAGCCAATCGGCCAATCCGAGCGACGCTGGCGGTGACCGCGCGGCCCGGCCGCCAAGCCCCAGGCGGGGCAGCACACTGGTTCCGAGAGTCGCTCCTCCCTCCCGCACCTTTCTGCACGCGTCGTGAGTGCGAGGGAGACAGAGCGACGAAAGTGACTCTCGGAAGCAGTCCGCTGCTCTGCAGGGCAGGGCAGGGCAGCCCGCCGAGATTAAAGCGGGGCGAGGAGCACTGCGAGCTGGCCGTGCTGG